AAATAAACCAGGTGTAAAAGGAAAACCTGGCGTGAGAGGCCAACCTGGACATTTGTCCATCAAATTCTTCTCACTGTCCGGAACTAAAGAGTGGAAAGAGGTAGAAAAGCAGGGAGATCAGTTCTGGGTAAGTCTTAGCAAAAAGATGAAGCTCAGCATCGATTTGCGCACAGGCTTGATTTCGTTTCCTTCTGAAGTACATCACGTGCCAGAGGTAATTGCACTCGGATTTTCAATCGCCATTCTTCATCTTTTATGCCAGCCTTACAGTCCAGTCGGAAGTACAGATTATTCAAAACCATCAGTTTGTGCATCAGGACAGGCCGACAAACCAGGCAGAATTCATAATGAAGACCTTGCATTAATAGTGGCAGCCGGTTACTATGCCAACACTGTACCAACTAACTCATACTTAAAGTATGCGATAGGAGGAGGTGCCTGCGGTGGATGTGGTGGATGCGGTGGCTGTGGTGGCTGCGGTGGATGTGGTGGTTGCGGTGGATGTGGTAGCTGTGGAGGATGTGGTGGTAGCTGTGGAGGATGCGGTGGTTGCGGTGGTTGCGGCGGTGGCTGCGGAGGATAATTGACTGAGATGATGCTATAAATATTCATTGTAACAAAACATTAATGATCTGAGACATTTAAGTCATTTAAATAATCTGACTGCATTTTATTTCCGCAATTACGAGATAGAAACCTTGCAGAAAACACGCAGAGTATAGGCAAGATCACTTGTAACTTAAAGACACTAGTAAGAAACGGCAGAAGTTTGTGTAATCAAAAACCTTTTCGATTTCAAAGGTCTCGTATGGATTTATCACGAACAGTTTCTAACTTCCTTGCTGTGTCATAAAATACTAATTCCGATTAACCCCGAACCGTAAGGTTCGGTTTGTTTTCCAAGTAAGTACGCTCTTTCAGCATGTCACAGAACGTTTTACATTAAACTGTAAAATAACAATATAATGGAAATAATATTTGCTGTAAAGGCCTGTGGCAAAATTCTTTGTATTTACCCCAATCGATTGCTTTCCAGAATCTACTCCAAAGATATATGTTATTTTTGACGATATCCAACGATTTCGAAACGATTGTAACTTAACAGATCCTATTGATCAAAATTTAGCTGTTTAGCTGCCACAGAGACAATTCGCGCTGACGAAGGGCTAACGCTCGAAACGTGAGCTTTGAACAAATTTTCATCAGAGGAGATTTTTCCGGATCCATAATTGTTACCGAATTCATCAATTTTAGGGTTATCGTATTCATTGACGTTTACGTTGGTTACAAGGCTGTTTCCTGCCTTAATCGATAACAACAAAATTCTTCCCAAGTAAAAAGGGCTAGAGTCGATCAAGATACAGATTTGAGTTGGACAGATAGTGAAGTTGAACTTCTGCTCGCAGTCGTTCGTGCATATTCTACCCAAAAGAATTACGAAGGTTTAGAATGAGAGAGCATCAAAAGCAAATTCGAGGAAATCAGGAAAGAATTCGTCACGTTTTATAAACAACAGAATGGATAGGCACATGATCTCAGCCTGTTCACCAGGGAAAGGATAGCAAACCGTCTAAAGGTCGCAGGTAGAAAAGCACCCAAATTCATTCTTCAAATCGTTTTTACGAATAGGCTTTCTGGTTTAAAAAGTTTTCGGACTTGATGTTCAAGATTTCGAATTCAAAATATCCGGAGACTCGACCAAAGAGGGAAAGTTTTATTTCGGATTTGTCTACTTGCTGTCTTGTGAATATCATGGTAATCATTTGCTTCGATCACACAGCACATCTCATACCTCTAAATCAGCATCGCTGTCCTCACAAATTACATTATACATCTTGCCGCGTGGGGCTAATCTCCATGAGCTCGAGAAACTTGAGCCTGCGATTTTGTTTCGCCAGGGAACATGAGCTCGAAATGACCTCATAAAATTTCGTCATGCGGTTTCCAAAAATTGGAAACAGTTCCAGCGTTACCAAAAGAGTAAAAGAGAAAAAGATGTATACACCTTAATCATATGTTAATAACAGTTAAAAAAAGCAAACAAAAAAATTGCATAGTCTGCACGGTCGGCACGGTCTGCACAGTCTGCATGGTCTGCAGTCTGCGTTTTATCATGACCGATGCAACCACAATAGAGTGCAGTTCACTCACATGGTCGATAAGTATGCAAATTTAGGGGACAAAACAAAATTGTTTACACAACAAAAGCGCTCAAATCCCACAAGATTTGCTTGGAACACCAATTGCAACATGGCGACGGACCACACGTTTCCAATTACGATCAACTTTGAACAAAGATATATATACAGATATTAATGGGAGCCGGGAGAGGTCTATTTCTAAGTCGAATTTTAGGCATTTAAACGTAAACCGCTCTCTTTGATATTTAGCATTCGGAGTAACAAATTTGAAAATTTTATAAGGCATCATATCTCAGTGCGAATAAAATAAGCGCATTTTAGGGTGAAACACCATTTTCTAGAAAACACAAAATAGCGGCGGGCCACCTTAAACCTTTATAGAATCATTGCTCTGGAGAATTCATAGCCGAAGTAATGTGACTTGACTTGGCTAACCTTTTTAAGAAAAAAAAGGTAGTATAGAAAGGAGAATCTGTTATTCTTGGAAAATAATCGTGTAAATGCAGATCTTTCGCAATTTGCAAAGGTTCAAGTATAGTTGAGTTGGTTGAACACCGTTTCAACACCAATTACGTGTAGGAAAACAAGCTTTTATTAGTCATAGTCTTTTTCTTAGTTATAACAACTATTTTCAGTTTAAATTTTGGGTCAATACTATGGTTTTTTGTCTAAAAGGAAAGTAAAAAAGTATTTTGAGTTGATGGAGAAAAATTTTCGTGCTGTTTTATTGGCAGTTCTAAGTCAATTTTGGATTATAAAAATTGGCCTTCTTTTCCCAGTCAGAACAGTGTTATGCTGTGCTAGAACAGCTTTTTAGTATAACAGTTATTTACAAATTAAAAATTATAAGCAACGATTTGAACTGTTGGTTCTTTTGATATAGTTAAATCACTTGAAGAATTAACCTCGCGGAACGTGAATGAAAGAAATATGACCTCGCCTCCACAGAGTTGCTAAAAAAAAATGGGGAATGAATGGTCATTAGACTTGCTAGACGGACAGTCTCCATGGGTATTCCTAGAAGAAAAATTTATCCCTTAATTTGCTGTAATATATATTTCTTGTAATTATCAAATGTTCAGTTATGGAAATATGAACAGACAAACATGCATTCACAAACATGTCCTTCAATGACAAAATCGACCATTGAAGTCATTCCTAGATAACGAAATACGAAAATTAGGAGCGAACCAGAAACTAAAATCTGGAATCTGCAGGGGTAGAATCCGGAATCTAGCATCCACAGCGTGGAATCCAGAATCTAATACTGTCCTGGATAACCTTACATGGGCGAATTAAGTAAGTTTAAGTAATTTGAGTCACTGACTAAGTCGAATCACGAAGACTTGCAAGCCACTATGAAAAGGCGCAAAATAGAACTTTATAAAAAAAACCCTACACACCAACATTTGGCAGATGACGGGACTCCTCGAGTTTGTGATAATTGTTCAAAACCCACCAACCAGATGTTCATGACGGAGTTACTTTTGGAAATAATAAGAAATAGTAATAGAAAGAAATAATAATAACTTACTCTTTCGCTTTTTTAGATGCATCGCAACTCTTGAATAAAAAATAGTTCGTGTGCACTTTCCGTGGAATAATCTCACAAGTGCCTATCCTTTTTTTCTTCTCACTCGTTAGTTTTCATTTACATTTCTTTTGCTATTCATGATTCCAGCGCACGAAATTCTCTCAGCCTAACTCCTTATGTTTCGCACTGATTTTCTCTACTTCCTCCTCTTTGAACGTCTGCCTCTCAGAGTCTACAATTGCGTTCTAGTATGGATTGCAAGGTAATAATATAATTACAATATTCTTTCAAGCCATAAAATATAATCGTTTATTAAATGTAGTTATAGAATACACACTGAGTTACTAATTTTAGATTATGAATGTAGACAAGAGAATAATTTTTTGAAGCGGAACTGCCATTTTTTCATTCAACACAGAAGTATAATGAACTCAACTTGAGCTCTCTATTTTTAAAGGCGTTGAAAACCATATTTACGGTGCTTCACCTTGGATCACTACATTGTGACCTTAGGGGAAATGATAAGCTTAATTATTAAAATTCAGAAGTTTCAACATCTATTGGAAGTCAACCCATCTAGCGGTGATACTCATTTTCGGAGTGCAAAAGCACATCTCGCAAATGGCAAATAAATCATGAACACTTAATTACGTTTTCTTACCTCAAGTAAAACTTCATTAAAACGCGCAGCAAAAATTACAACAGTCGCTTTACTTGAAAATCACAACTCTGGTAAAGAAATCTGTTCTATATGGACATGACATTAGCGCCTAGTTTCAGCCATATATATATATTTTAATGGCATCAATTAAATTTCGGTTCTCGTACATTTACAAATAATCTTAAAATATTTCCTCTATCTACTTCAGAGTACAATGAAATATTGCTATGTTTGCCTAGATTTTCAAGAAACATACCCGCTGACATTTATATAAGGTTTCTTCCAAAAGCTCAGAGATGGGGAGGGTAAAAAACTTAGGGTTTGATTCTCAGTAAAGGGAACTTTTAGTAGACATCATCAGTCGCTCTTTGTCGTAGACTGTCCCAGTTGGTGAGGGGAAATTGATTTTTACCAAGCAGGGGGTAAAGGACGAGGATTCAGTTGTCAATGGACTTTAAGTCTGTTGTCCTAGTGGGACTAAAAGTAAGATATTTAGGGCTTATTATCACTCAAAGTTTTCACTTGGTAAAAAATATTTTCTGGGGATAATTTAATCAATAATTATGACCTTTTTTTTGGCAAATAATTTTTCAAAGCAAAAATACGAACGCCTAGGAAACTTTGAGGGGAAGATGCGCTTTTAAATTCCGCTTTACTTTCTATATCAGCACGGAGGATTATACTGACCGGGAGAAATTTTCCATTTATCTTTAAAGGCCTTCTGTAAAATGAGTCTGGTGAACTCATAAAATCCACCCCATGTTTTAACTCTAAACATGTAATTCTTGGGCGGGTCGGAGGCTACCTTTACCATTTCGTCTATTCCCTTTACGTAAGATCCCACAACAAACACGAAAATCTTTACTTGTCTTTTCTTTAGTTCCTGAGCGTTGGGTATGGTTAAGTGACGCTGTGCGTTTGACTGACCATCGGTGATAAGAATAACTACCTTTTCTGAACCTTCACGACGACCTTGGATCAACGGAAGAATATTAAGAGTTAGTAAAATGCATGTTCGTTTTCTTCAAGCTTCTTGTAGGAAGTCTTTCATGCAGTATTCAGTGATAAAGGTCAAATGTTTAAAGATCAGAGCGAATGTTGGTGCCTAGTGTTTACGGAATAAGAAACTTAAATTGTGAGTTTGAAGACTTCTCATCTAGATGTGCCAGGGATATATAACAACATTTTAATGCGCTCAAAAAGGTTAGATTTTGAGTCGTTGGCTATACTGAAGTTCGCAACTGCTTTGATTTTGTTCTCCTTCACGAAAAAAAGGAAGGCAAAGAGATTTCTTAAAGCTGAATTGTTTTGATTACTAGGGCAAGATGAAAAAAATTATTTCCCTCACCCTTCCTCTGTTGACTACAAAAAAAAATTTAAGGTAAATGAAATCCCGTTTTGTTCTCGGGATCATTAGAACATTTTTTGTAGTTCCGTAAGACTCAAACTTATCAGACCATTAGTCATGAATATTTTGAGACTATCCTTAATCAAACAAGGCAACCCAAACAGAGGAGCTCTTAAGGTCTCAGAGGCCAGAATTAAGGGATCTTATAAACGAACTTCACATTGTATTGCCCTTTATCGATTGTTAATTTATATTGTACCTGACGAAAGGTCATCAAACAGCAGCCTCTTGGCTTCTGCTAGACCAGCCTGAGTATTGGTCCCCTCTCCTGGGTAGGGAATGTTCATAATTTTGCTGGCTGCTGTACGGCTTGGCGTGAACTTGAAGTTTACTTTGGAGGAGGAAGAAAACGTTACAGCTGCATATCTGGTGTCATAGCCGGGCCTTACCATTTTCCCCATCAAGTTTACAAGTGCTTTTTTTCCTTTATCAAATTCGCACGATCCGATTGATTCTGAGCCGTCAATAACAAGGACAACATCCTCATTCCCGAAGCTTCTCTTAGAAATCCCTGACCAATGGCTGCCAATGCCTAAGAAACTAGACATGAATTTATTTGCAGTCACACTGAGTGGAGGAACAGTTTGAAAAGCTGAAGGTAAGGATAAACAAAGATTCAGGTTAGAAGTATCAGACTGAATCAATCTGTTATTAACATGCACAAATAATATATCTGCAGGAAAGCCCTCTGCGCTGACGACAACTTTCAACGACCATATTATCATCATTTGAGTTTTTGCTTCCTATTCATAGTAGTTTCCAAAAACGTCAAAAACAACAATATACGCCACGGAACCGACATGAACTACACATCACTTTATGCCTATTTCGGGTTTTATTGCCACAAACACATAATTTTTTTTCATTCCCAACTGTTCTAATTATAACGGATGGTCTACTGATAAACCAACTGAAGATAAACTTACCTGGATAGAGGCTCTCAGCTGGATCTGCTGGGTAAGTCAATGGCGGCGGTGGCTTTCGCCGTAACATTCCTGAGATTTGCCCCGTGAGAATTAACAGTAGGCACAACAAAGAAAATAAACAAGAAGAGAGTCGCGACATTTCGAAGTCTTGAACTAGGTTGGTAGAGTCCCTTTCGGTTGTTGACGTTGAAGTCTGGAATTATTGAGGAGATCTCTTTGTTTTATAGAGTAACTAGCTTCCGTCTGTCTTTTCTATTCTTAGTTCAACAAGGAACATATTTGTTTCGAGCTTTTACATGTGTCAGATGAATGGGAACAACATTCTATTGAAATGCACGTTCTCACACCGAAAGCAACTTCAATATCAACAAATCGTGACAGAGAGTTAATACAACTTTAGAAGGAGCTTTTATTTCTCGTTAACCTGTAACCCAGGATCATCGAAGAGGACAAAACTTTCAAAAAAAAATTCCGTATACTCACGAGAAAGTTTGGATGAACAGTAGAAACTACAGCTAAATATCAAGATGCAACGTACTTAGCTGACTTTTATTCATGTTCCGTTAAAGTTTTGTCTGCCAGATAATCTAAATATCCCTCGTTGCCTGATATTCTTTTATTTGCGTGGTTTTATTTTTACTTTGAAAAGTCCTCGTTCAAAGAGTTTTAGCTTTTTCCTTTCTCTGAGTCTCCATCGGTATTGACAGTACGTGATATGTGTTACTGTGCAGTGAAAAGCGTTCAACCGAAGTCACGGTAACCTTCAGCACCACAGACAGATAGTTTCTCTAGATACGTGTCAGTTCACTTGCCAGGTTGTTTATCGCCAAAGATCAAATCTTGATTGAACGATAGTTTGATTCGCGAAGCGAGTCAAGCTCGTACCTGAAAAATCGAACGTTACAGAAAGACAAGTTACTGTTTGCCTTCCCTGTCTAGGTGAAACTTTTCCAAAAATAATTTATTTGGCAAATGCTCAGTCATCTTTAATGTAATTTTGTTTTGTTTACCAAGCTGAATGATAGAAATGTGAGTAGTGGTGGGTGTAGAGTATTCATAGGTCAAGTGATCACTCTCATTCCTCTAATTAATCTGTATTTTATTCAATGATCAAGATAATAAACTTCGCGTACAATACTCGTAATCAGTTATTTTACTTTCACTTAGGATAGTAGATTTACGGCACTATTGGAAGTTCCTTACAGTAGTGACGCTTTATGACCCTATGTAACGTAACACGGGCACCTTTAATGGAGTTTTGCTGTGAAAAGTTACATTTCGACGAAGAGAGGTGCAATGTAAATTTTTATTTCACCATAGTGTACGAGAATTAGAAACACTAACTGTTTGCTTTTATCATTAGAAGTCCTCGTTTTGAGAAATCTTTGTCTTATTCGTATGTCTTAGCATTCCCTCTAATCGGTATCGACAGCACGTGATAAGTGTCACTATACAGTGTAAAGCGTGCATTCGAGATCACGGTAACCTTCAGCACCACAGGCACTTAATTTCCCCCGTTACATGATCACTCACTTAATTAGGATATTTGTCGCTAGAGATCAAAACTTAGTTGAAACGAAACCTTGATCCAACTGCAATGAAACAATCAGCTTACGTTACCAGTCGTATATCTTAGTCATGTTCTAAATCGGCTTACCTGTTACCGAAGGTCAAAGAAGCTGAGAAAAAATAGTCACGCAGCAAGAGCATTGCTTAGCAGCGAAAGTATGGAAGAGTTCCACACGTTTCATGCAGGCTGTGAAAACCGCCTGTACATGTTAAGTTAAAGACGGTCGTTGAACGTCTATTTGAAATATTAAACCAGTGAAATCCAGAGAGGAAGTACAAGAAAGGATATCTTCTTTTTCGAAAAACGGAGCGAGTTTGCGCTTTAAGATCGAACGTGACAGAAAGACACGTTACAGTCTGTCTTTCCTGTCTAGGTGAAGCTTTTCAAAAATAGTTTGGCACATTCTCAGTCTTGTGGAGAGTACTTTTTTGTTTACCAAGCTGAAATATGGAGATGTGGGTAATTGCGGGCTGTTTGCAAAAAGCGGTGTGGCTGTGAAAATTTACATTTTTTTGAAGAACAGTGTTTGAACCGTAATGTTGATTTTTATTAAACCATATTATGACATAGTTAGTAAATTTGTCTAATCAAATGCAATTGCGTGAGCGTGCTTCATTGGAGAAATGTAAAATGGTTTCCGTGTTTACATAGCCTGATGTAAACACGCGGGAGGTTGGGAGAACACGAGATAAGCGTAGGAAACCACGACGCGAAGCGGAGTGGTTTCCAGCTTATCGAGAAAGAACTGCCTACTTTTTCTTTGGGAATGGAGTTTTTAACTCCCCAAATAGAACGAAAAGAAAAAGAAAAAAAAGGAACAAGCACGGCCGATGTCATCCCGTTTCGCAAACCATCGGCTTGAAAATGTTCTAAAACAATTGGTTCATACGTCATCTGTGCCTTCATCGCGTTATGAAGCACGCGGGAAGTTTGGAGAGCACTCAAGAGGCCAGAGCATCTTTCGTGCTCTCCAAACTTCCCACGTGCTTCATATCTCGATGAACGCACGCTGACGCATGAACCAATTGTTAAATATACGAGTAGTAGAAAAAGTATCGTTGACTGGTTTTGTAGACTAGAACTGAAGTTGGTGATCAGGTGATATCCGTCGTTCTTTCAAATTCCTCTTTTTGTAACTTCCCTTAATCAACTTCAGCGCAAAGTTTACACAGACTGCGTGCTAAATAAAGCTTCAGGCTTCCACGTAACTCAACAACTTCAGCCTTCCCGCCACAGCTTCTGCTACATTCTTTACCAGAGGCTAATCTCTCTGCGACGAACTGTTCCAACAATGGCGCCAGTGTTTTACCCATTAATGATTATCGTCATCCTCGCCTTTTTAACAGGTCAATGTCGTGGTAGGAACCATTTTGGTTCAGACCCACTCCAAAGCCTGTTAGTGTAAAGGCACTCAGGTCAATTGTTTTTATTGCCAGGAAAATATCGTGGTGATTCTGGATTGTTCAGAATCGACTGGGAAATGCAACCACGAAAAAGCTAAGAAAGCTATGAAGAACATGCTTGACATTGCGTCAGAAATAGGATATGACAACAGATATGCGGTTGTGACACTTGCAACCGGTGCCACGACCGATTTTAATTTTGTCGCTAATCCGGACGCAGGATTTAAGATAAAGAACCTTCCCTTTATCCCTAGGTCGACCAACACTCAGGCTGCATTGAAAGAAGCGAAAAGGATTTTGAAGGTCCCAATTCAGGTGTGTGCAAATTCATTTGCACCGAAAGCTTTTATTCTTAGCAGAGAACATAAACAATCATAACAGCATTTCTCTAAAACATCTAAAACCACTGCTCCATATGGTAATGATCCAAAGTTCTGTTAATCATTAAGTTGTAAAATTACCACCAAAACCAAGCCAGCCTCCATTTTAAGCATAAACGATAATATCTTGAATAAGTCTTTCTCTGATAGAGGATGCGATGTGATCGATCATAAGTTGTGCCGCTATATATTTTAACTATTGGTGCTTTCCATAACAACTCTGAGTCAAAATCAATTATGATGATCTGTGATAAACTAGGTTAACCCTTCACGCCTTCACATTATTCTTTACACTGTTCTCTTAACGCTTTCAATGCCGGGTGCTGACAAGGAGAATTTATTTGAAAATCTGGAGTTTCTGAAATTGGCGATCATTGCTTTCTATCATGACCTTTACATTTGATTAAAGGGTGGTACTCAAAGAAGGAATTAGAATTCATTCACCCTTTGGGGTTAAATGGCTATGATTTTTAGTGAAAAAAATGTTGAAGTACACTCACTGCATATCCTTCTTACTGTATTCATTTGTCCTTTTTCAAAGGGGAAACATCCGGGTGTTAAAAAGATTGCTTTCCTTATCACCGATAGCCTTTCAAATGTTGATCCCTCGAAGACCATGCAAAACGGCTAACTTACTGAAAGCTAGTGGTGTGGAGATTTTTGTCGTTGCTGTTGGAAATTACTATACAGAAATCGTGGAAATAGCTTCACCAGATCGTAAAGACCATGTATTCCGTTTCACTAACACGTCTGGCTTCTTAGATGTTACAAAATTGGCTTTTAAGTCAGTTGCTCTCAAGAAATATGCCGTCCAAGCTCATCATAAGCGGCTTTGTTAAAATTCCTTCGTTAAAAATTATTTTTAGATTGAAGTTTAAGAGGAACAGCAATACAATATAACTTATTTTAGATTGCTTTCCTTGAAGGAAAAATAGATAACTTCATAGATGAGCAAGAAAACAAAAACACGAGAGCAAAGACCGACAGACACATAAGCCTGCTAAAAACCTTTCTCAGCTACAATTACCACCGTCGCCAAAATAACCCCACCAAAAAACCGGCTGTAGAAAAGACTCAGTGTCTTGTCCAGCGGTTCTGATGAAGAATGAATAAGAACTATTTATACAAACTATTTTATAAGAACTACAGAATTTTGATTTACGTTACATTTTTTAAATGAGATTTTCGCATTGGTTATTTTTAAAACCGAGGTTGTCTCATTTTCTTCGCAAGTTTTCATACTTCGTAATGGTAAGCGTCTGCAAATTCGCGATGCCATTCATAAATTGAATTTTTAAAATACGAATTATCTTATTTTCCCTTTTAAAAGTAATGTCTCCCCGTCGGCAGATTAGTGTGAAAAGGATTTGTTGCGGATTTGGTGTTGTTCATAATAAAATTTGCTCTTGCACTTAAATGGCTTTTTCAATTGAAGTGTGTCGGTCAGCAAGAGAAAAATCTCAGTATGTATGAAACATCATACCAAGGGAAGTGCACACAAACGATTTGTGAATAGAAATCGTTCGTACGCACTTTCCATGGAATAATCTCAAAAGTCCCTATCCTTATTTCTTCTCACTCGTTAGAGTTTTCACATTTCTTCTGCGATTCATGGTTCCAGCAAACGAAATTGTCTTAGCCTCACTCCTTATGTTTCGTACTGATTTTCCCTACTTCCACCTCTTTGAACGTCTGCCATTCAGAGTCTACAATTGCGTTCTAGTATGGATCGCAAAGTAATATTATAAATTACAACATTTTTTCAAGCCATAAACTGTAATCGTTTATTAGATGTAGTTACAGAATACACACTGAGCTTATGAATTGGATTATGAAAGCAGGCAAGAGAATAATTTCTTGTAGAAGAGCAGCCATTTCTTCAATCAATACAGAAATATGATAAACTCAGTTTGAATTCTCTATTTTTAAAGGTGTTGACAACCAAATTTACGGTGCTTTACCTCGTATCATTACAGTATGACCTCAGTTATCAGTTAATTACTTAATCACTATCAACATGAAATGGAAGTCAACCCGTTTAGCGGTGATACTCATTTTCTAACTGCAAAAGCACATCTCGTGGCAAATAAATCATGAACACTTAAGTTTCCTTGTCTCAAGTAAAACTTCATTAAAATTCGCCACAAAAATTACAACACTCGCTTAACTTAAAAATCACAACTCTGGTCGAGAAATCTGATCTATGAGGCATGACATTTGGCTCATAGCTTTAGCCATATGCATGTATATTTTTTTAACGGCAACAATCATTTACCACTAATCTGAAAGACATTTCCTCCATCTACTTTATATTGATATGTTTACCTGGATTTGCAAAAATCATACCCGCCGACCTTTATATAAGGGGTGGTTGCTGTCCAAAAGCTCAGAAATGGGAAGGGTAAAAAATTTAGCGTTTGATTCTGAGTAAAGGGAACTTTTAGTAAACATCTTCAGTCGCTCTTTCTCGTAAACTGTCTCAGTGGGTAGGGGAAATAGATTTTCCCAAGCAGGGAGTAGGGGTCGGGGATTCAGTTGACATTGGACTTAAAGTCTGCTGTCCCAGTGGACATGATTTTTGCAAATAAAGTAAGATGTTTAGCACGCATTGTGCGACTTCCAAACGATTTCTCGTGGTAAAAAAATATTTTCTGGGGATAAATCAATCAATAACTATGACCTTTTTTCGGGCCGATAATTTTTCAAAGCAAAAACACAAACGCTTAGGAAACTTTGAGGGGAGATGCGCTTTTTAAATTCCGCTTCACTTTCCATATCGGCACGGAGGATTATATTGACCGGAAGAAATTCTGATCCATTTACCAGGAAAGGCCTTCTTTAAAATGAGCTTGATGACCTCATGAAATGCACCCAACGTTTTAACTCTAAACATGTGATCCGTGGGCGGGTCGGAGGCTACCTTTACCATTTCGTCTATTCCGTTTATGTAAGATCCAACAGCAACCACAATAATCTTTACTTGTCTTTTCTTTAGTTCCTGAGCGTTGGGTATGGTCAAGTGTTTTTGTTCGTTTGACTGACCATCAGTGATGAGGATAACTACCTTTTCTGAACGTTCACGACGACCTTTGATTAACGGAAGAATTTTAAGAGTTAGGAAAATGCATGTTCGTTTTTTTCAAGCTTCTTGAAGGAAGTCTTTCAAGCAGTATTTAGTGATAAAGGTCAAATGTTTAAAGATTATGGCGAATGTTGGTGGCTAGTGTTTATGGAATAAGAAACTTAAATTTGGAGTTTGTTTGAATACGAAGAATTCTCGATGTGCTAAGGATATATGACAACAATTTTATCAGGTCAGTCCTGCGCTCAAAAAGGCCAGATTTTGAATCGTTGGCTATATTAAAGTTTGCAGCTACTTTGATTTTGTTTTGCTTTACGAAAAAAAAGAGGCCTAAAAATTTGTTATGGCTCATATGTTTGGTTACTAAGGCAAGATGAGGAAAATTATTTCCCCCATCTTTCCTTTGTTGACTACAAGAACATTTTTGAGGTAAATCCCGTTTTGTTCACGGGGTCATTAAAACATTTTTTGTCGTTCCATAAGGCTCAGACTTAACAGACCGTTAGTCATAAATATTTTCTAACTACCCTTAATCAAACGAGACGGTCCAAACAGAGGAGCCCTTAGGGTCTCAGAGGCCGGAATTAAGGAACCTTATAAACGAACTTTACACTGTATCGTCTTTTACCGATTGTTAATTTACATTTTACCTGACGAAAGGTCATCAAACAGCAGCCTCTTGGCTTCTGCTAGACCAGCCTGAGTGTTGGTGCTTCCTCCTGGGTAGGGAATGTTCATAATTTTGCTGGCCGCTGTAGAGTGTGGCGTGAACTTGAAGTTTACTTTGGAGGAGGAAGAAAACGTTACAGCTGCATATCTGGTGTCCCATCGGGGCTTTACCATTTTCCCCATCAAGTCTACAAGTGCATTTTTCCCTTTATCAAATTCGCACGATCCGACTGATCCTGAGCCGTCAATAACAACGACAACATCCTCATTCCAGAAGCTTCTCTTAGAAATCCCTGACCAATTGCTATTAATGCCCAAGAAACTCGACATGAATTTATTTGCAGTCACACTGAGTGGAGGGACAGTTTGAAAAGCTGAAAGTAAGGTTAAAAAAAATTCAGGTTAGAAGTATCAGACTAAATAAATCTGGTATCAACATGCACAAATAATATATCTGCAGGAAAGCCCTGACAAATGTTATTTCCCAATCTATATTTTTTATTGAAAAACCACAACCTGGGATAGATAAAGCAGTAAGCCTCTCTAATGTGGTTTAAGTTTCTTAAGCCAGGGCTCAATGTCACCACAACTTTTCATGATTAGGATTTAGACCGAACCAAATTTCCCAAAGTAACCCTCTTGTTAACCGCTTCATAGACATTCCTGCATGTGATGCAATAGCAGGAATTTGCGGTTTTGAGAAAAATGACTCAACAAAATTTATTCACTAATGAGTTCGGCACATCGTAGGTTCGATATCTGAATCAAAGCCATTCTGAAGTCCACGCTCATCGAGTCGGGAAGGACAACTCAGCCTTTCTGAATTGAAAAAAGGCCTTCAATATGGTTGCGATATGTAACTGATTCAAGATATTCAGTCTGAAATGGATCACTGGATCAGCCACGGGATCAGCCATCAGATCATGACATCGTAAGGCTCGTGTAGATTGGCGAGCTAAAGTCTATTCCACCCTTCAACATAATTGTTTCGTTTAGGAGCTTTCCTCTACGACATTTGATGACCGCGGAACTCATTATTTATAGAAGTTTCCTCTACACTGACGACAACTTTTAACGACCATATCATCATCATTTGACTTTTTGCTTCCTATTCATAACAACGTGAAGTCAAAAACAACAATATACGCCACGGAACCGACATAAACTACACATTACTTTATGCCACAAGCGCAAAATGTTTTTCATTCCTAATTATAACGGACGATCTACTGATGAATCAACTGAAGATAAACGTACCCTGATAAAAGCTATCTGCTGGATTTGCTGGGTAAGTCGTTTGCGGCGGTGGCGTTCGCCATATGAATCCTGAGATTTGCCCCGTGAGAATTAACAGTAGGCACAGCAAAGAAAATAAACAAGAAGGAAGTCGTGACATTTCGAAGTCTTGAACTGTGTCGGTAGAGTCCCTTTCGGTTGTTGAAGTTGAAGTCTGGAATAATTCGGGAGACCTCTTTGTTTTATAGAGTAACTAGCTTCCGTCTGTCTTTTCTTTTCTTAGTTCGACAAGGAACATATTTGTTTCGAGCTCTTACATGTGTCAGATGAATGGGAACAACATTCTATGTTGAAAAGCACGTTTTCATATTGAAAGCAACTTCAATATCAACAAATCGTGACAGAGAGTTTATACAACTTTACAAGGAGCTTTTATTCTTCGTTGGCCTCTAACCCAGGATCATCACAGAGGACAAAAATTTTGGATAAACAGTAAAAACTACAGCAAAATATCAAGATGCAACGTAGGTAGCCGATTTTTATTCATGTTCCGTTAAAGTTTTTTCTGCCAGATAATCTAAATATCCCTCGTTGCGTAATATTCTTTTATTTGCGTGGTTTTATTTTTACTTTTAAAAGTCCTCGTTTAGAGAGTTTTGGCTTTTTCCTTTCTCTGAGTCTCCATCGGTATCGACAGTGCGTGATGTGTCACTGTGTGGTGAAAAGCGTTCAACCGAAGTCACGGCTACCTTCAGCACCAGAGGCAGATAGTTTCTCTGGTTACGTGTCAGTTCATTTGTCAGGTTTTTGTCGCCAAAGATCAAACTTAATTAAACGAAATTTTGATCCAATTACAGTGAAACCATCAAATTACAACGTAACTCATATATCTAATTCATGCACTAAACAAGCTTCCCCGTTGCTGAAGGTCAAATTAGCTAAGAAAAAATTTAATTACGCAGCAAGAGCATTAACAAACAACATAAGGAAGAATTCAAATTATGCATACAGGCTATGAAATTCCATTGCGTTCGGTCGTTGCGCCTCAAATTGAACAATTTAACCAAAGAAAGCCGAGGAGGAAATACGAGCAAGAATGTTTTTTTAGACAGATTCATTTCGTGTAGCGAGTTAAGCTTGTCCCTGAAAGATGGAACGTTACAGAAAGCGGACAGGTTACTTTTTGCCTTCCCTGTCAGGTGAAACTTTTCCAGAAATAATTTATTCGGCAAATGCTCATTCATCTTAGAGTTAATTTTTGTTTTGTCTACTAAGCTGAATTATAGAAATATGAGTAATAGCGGGCTCCTTGGATAGAGGTTCTCGGTTAAAAATTACATTTTGTGAAAGAACAGCGTTATGTAAATTTTTGTTTAGCCGTAATGTACGAGAACTAGAAACGATAATTGTTTGCTTTTATTTTAACATTTAAAAGTCCTCATTCTAAGAAATCTTTGTCTTTTTCGTTTCTCTGAGTATTCTCCCGACAACAAATCGACAACACGTGATATGTGTTACTATGCAGTGTAAAGCGTTCATCCGAGATCACGATAACCTTCAGCACCACAGACAGTTAATTTCCCTCGTTACATGATCAGTTCCTAAATTAGGCTAAAGATCAAAACTTAATTTAAACGATATCTTGATTCAATTAAAGTGAAACGATCTGCTTACTGTTACGTTACCACTCCTATATCTTAGTCATGTTCTAAATCGGCTTCCCTGTTGCTTAAGGTCAAAGTAGCTAAGAAAAGATTAGTCACGCAGCAAGGGCATTGCTTACTGAACAGAGAAAGTATGGAAGAGTTCCACACGTTTCACACGTTTCATGAAGGCTGTAAAAACCACCTGTACATGTTAAGCTAAATTCAGATACTCCACCGCGCACAGTCGTTGAACGTCTATTAAAAATATTTAATGTATCTTCTTTTTCGAAAAAAACGGAGCGAGCTTGCGCCTCAAGATTTAACGTGACAGGAAGACAAGTTACAGTCTGGCTTTCCTGTCTTGGTGAAACTTTTTCAAAAATAGTTTGGCACATGCTCAGTCTTGTGGAAAGTACTTCTCTGTTTACCAAGCTGAAATATGGAGATGAGGGTAATTGCGGGCTGTTTGCAAAAAGCGGTGTAGCTGTGAAAATTACATTTGCCAGAAGAACAGTACATGAACCGTAATGTTGATTTTTAACAAACCATAATGTACGAGTACTTGAAATGCTATCGTTGACTGGTTTTGTCAACTAGAACTGAATTTGGTGATATTCGTCGTTCTTTCAAATTCATTTGTTAGTAACTTTCCTAACTCAACTTCAGCGCAAAGTTTACAAAGACTGCGTACTAAATAAAACTTCAGGCTTTCACGTGACTGTACGACTTCAGCCTTCCCGCCACGGCTTCTGCTATATTCTTTACATTCACCAAAGTCCTTGCTGAGACGGAATACACGTACATGGATTGCTTTCTGCCTATACTATCAACAAAGCGAAGACAACCAGATTAAAAAGATTTCAAATAACGTATAGATTTCTTCAGAAAAATGAGGCTTACCTCTTCGCGACGAACTGTTACAATAATGGCGCCGGTGTTTTACCGATTAATGATGATCGCCATCCTCGCTTTTCTAACTGGTCATTGTTGTGGTAGGAACCCATTTTGGTTCAGACCCACTCCAAAGCGTAATCAACAGTATTATCAGTGTAAGTGTACAGGCACTTAGGTCAATTGTTTTTATTGCCTGGTCTCCGAACGTTATTGTCAAAGTGGGAAATTATAGCGGAGCTCGCAGCGCAGGCCCATTATTTTAGGAAATAGAAGTAAATCATCAAGCTTAAAGAATTTGGGCTTGAGATTGTATGACCGACAGTAAAAGGGCGCGTTTGCGCCTTAAGATCGAACGTGACATAAAGACACATTACAGTCTGGCTTTCCTGTCTAGGTGAAGCTTTTTCAAAAATAGTTTGGCACATGCTTAGTCGTGTGAAAAATAACTTTTTTGTTGACCAAGCTGAAATATGGAAATTTGGGTAATTGTGGGCTGCTTGCAAAAAGCGGTTTAGCTGTGAAAAATTACATTTTGTAAAAGAACAATGTTTGAACCGTAAAACACTATTATTCTACAAAATATAATTTTTATCTGACCTTGTTTGAGTACTAGAAATGTTATCGTTGACTGGTTTTGTAGACTAGAACTGAATTTTGTGATACTCGTCATTCTTTCAAATTCCTTCTTTTGTAACTTCCCTAAATCAACTTAAGCGCAAAAATTAAAAAAAGTCTTTTTGTTAAATAAAGCTTCAGGATTCCACGTGAGTCAACAACTTCAGCCTTCCCGCCGCAGCTTCTGCTACATTCTTTACCTTCGCCAAAGTCCCTCCAGAGACGGAATACACGTACAGGGATTGCTTTCTACCTATAAAATCAACCAAGCGAAGACAACCAGCTTCAATAGACTTCAAAGAACGTTCAGCTCTCTTCAGACGACTGAGAGTAATCTCTTCGCGACGAACTGTTCTAACAGTGGCGCCAGTGTTTTATCGATTAATGACGATCGTTATCCTCGCCTTTTTAACTTATCAATGTTGTGGTAGGAACCCATTTTAGTTCAGACACGCCCCAAAGCGTGATCAACAACATCATCGGTGTAAGTGTAGAGGTACACTTACAAAAGAGGTACACATGAGTCACTTGCTTTTATTGCCAGGTCTCCGTACCTTATTGTCAAATTGGGAAATTATAATTCCATAAATGCCGGTAATTCAGTATTGCTCTTGAGATGTTACATTTTACACCCTCAAGGAATTCTTCGGCTAACACCACTACGAAAACGAGGAGGACGAAAAGACAATGGGAAATCCTTGTTTTCTTTGGCGTTGAAAGACCACCACTCATAAAGGGGTGGGACGATTTCGTCTTTGCATCAGGAGAAAAAAACCTGTTCTTTATAGCAAAATAAAACCTCTTGCCGCGACTGGAATTCCAGAATTTTTTAACGAGTGAATAACCATGTTCTATGTAAAACTCAAAGATCTATATGACTTCAATGCATTTGATGTGCGAAAGGTTACGTTCGCCCTTTGTTTACTTTGTGAAAAAGTGCATTTTATACTTGAGCTTGATCAGGATTTTGATAAAGTAAGTAACACGTTAACGCGTGCCAGTGTCAGTGTATGTCAGCTCCTTGTAGAGAGCAAGCAGAGCATGTTTTTGATATATTTATTTGGTTATTGATATATTTTTTTTATAACATTGATCGTCAATCGCTCTGACGAAGGGCTAACGCTCGAAACGTCAGCTTTTTTACTCTTTACAGAGGCTAATTTAAGTTTTCAACCCAGTTGTTAACACTAAATTACCTGCTATACTCTCCCACCGACGCAGCACCACAGTTTCTTTAGAAACTTACCCCTTGCGTCAGAAGTAGGATTTGACAACAGATATGCAGTAGTGACATATGCAAGCGGTGCCACGACCGATTTTAATTTTGTTGCCAATTCGGACGCAGGTATTAAGATGACGAACGTTCCCTATATCTGTTGCAATACGCTATTGCATATTCAATTAACCTAAGATTGTTTAGATCGTTATTCCTAATATGTGCAAATTCATATTTTGATCATTTTGGATTGAAAGCTTGAAGAGAACATAAACAGTTATAGCAGCATTTAAAACAATCTAAAATCTACGGCACCATATGGTAATGATCCAAGGTTCTGTTACTCATTAAGTTGTAAAATTACTACCAAAACCAAGCCAGCCTCCATTTTGAGCATAAACGGTAATATCCTGAATAAGTCTTTCTCTGATAGAGGATGCAATGTGATCGGTCATACGTTGTGCCGCTATATATTTTAACTATTGGCTACATGCTTAGGGGACGCATTGAAAGTATTGTATGCTTTCCATGATAACTCTGAGTTAAAATCAATTATAATGATGTGTGATAAACTAGCGTAACCGTTTACGCCTTGACATTATTCTTTACACTGTTGTCTTTACGCTTCCAATGCCAGGTTCTGACAAGGAGAATTTGTTTGACAATCTGGAGCTTCTTAAATTGGCAATCGTTGCTTTTTATCAAGACCTTTACATTTGATTTAAGGGTGGTACTGGAAGAAGAAATTTGAACGCATTCACCCTTTGGGGTTAAATGACTGTGATTTTT